ATAGCTTGTCAAGCATAAGACTGGTGACTGTGTCCCTTATTTTGTGTATGTGGGGGTCTATACGAATGCGCTTGCTCCAGCTGGTGGTACAATATTCGGAGGTGGTATCGCCTCTCTGATCCTCTAGTTTTACAACCACTGGCCAAGAACTGTTCAATATAACGGAAAAATTTGATGAGTATAAGTACATTTGCTTAGTTACTTCACAAATTTTAATTGAAATTTATTCTAAGCAAGGGTACAGACTACGCAAATTTAAATTGATCTATAGGTCACAAATGATTATGAAATATGCAAGTTCAAATTGATAAAGATTGAAAACAGCTCTGCTGTAATTATTTTCACAATTAGCCTTAGGGAGGTAACAATAACCATTTTACGTCTGGGATAAACATCAAACTACACTAATTGTTATACGTGAAATCTGAATTACGCATAGGTGTTTGTATGCGGAGTGTTGAATGGATGAATAAATTAGGCGAAATGTCCATTTTGCATTGATGGAAAAGTGTCCAAAATGCTATCAAAATCTGTTTTCATTGTCGTGAAAATGATATGACGTACCCCTGTACCTTTAAGATATTTTTTATATTTTTCAGGCAAAGTAAGCCCCACGTTAATTCTTTCAACTGAAACCCTCTTATTGTGTTCAGTGCAACAAACGCCCTTATTGTGTTCAGTTCCATTAATTCAAAAAATATTCTAATCAAGCATAGGTTCAACAGAAAGTCCAATATTGTAACCATAATATAATAATCAACTTCATTATTTCAACGGTAGAATAGTTCCATAGAGATTATTTAAGGAAATCCATGGCATAATCATCCATTACATCATAGTATTTACTGAATTTTCAAATTTCAAAAAAATTCCCAGTAGAGTAATAATTCACATGTGGGATTAGGTCTTTGATAATGGCATTGTAATATTGTAAATAGTAATAAATTTTATTGACCACTAAACAGTACACAGGTACATATTATATGTAGGTTGGAGAGACTGTACACATGTATATGATATACATGTGTACAGTCTCTCTAACCTACCGTACATGTCATGCAATATAAATGTTTGTGAGAGGAAAAGGATTAAGCTCTGATCAAATATTTAATATAAGTATTAAATAAAATAGATAAAACTGTTGTTAATGTATTATTTAATAAATCACTAATAAGAGACAAATACAATTATTATCATTATACTCATAGAAAAGTTGCTACTCTTTGTCTGTGTATGTATGAAATCTCAGGTTGGCATGTATACTTTATTCTATACATTATTGTTCCCAGAATTGTTACTGCCTTAATTGTGCATACACAAATAAACACATTGTTATTCCTGTACATTGCTGTATGATGCTAACTGTTCAATGTAGAAATGAATAAAGTATGTATGATATCAGACGGATTTTGTTCTTGCATGGCTGCCCACCTTACATAGGTTACAATATTTATATCAACTGTTTATTTCATTATTTACTGTGGAATAATGCACAAATACAGAAGGAATGCATCTATGACACCAATCCAGTTTTAAAAAGTATAACTGACAACACTAGTTCTGCCATTGGTTTTTCTGGCTCAAGGTGGTCCCATACCAGGCCATTAAAGAGACATGTAATATGCCCTCAAGGTCTCACATTCAACATTGGGCTCAGTTGTATGACAGGTAAAATACCCTCTTCATGACCTATTATCCACTTTTTTAAGGTGCTGAGCTTTTTTGGCCTTTGAAAAGTTTTATGGTGGCTTGATGGTGTAAGGACAAAGAAGTTGAGCAAAGTTTTTTTTCTTCCATGTTTTGAGTAGGTGGAAATTGAAAAATTGAAGAAACCAACTCCTTCAGGTCAGAATTGTGATTTATCAATAAATCTAAAAGAAATTCAGCTCAGTGAATTATCAAAAACCTGACACATCATCACAGAGAAAACTTTTTTTGACATTTTTTTGTGCTAGAATTAAATAAAGTCACACAATGAATTAAAAATCAACAATATTGCATTTTTTGAAGTTGTTGTAATCTTAACATCATGTAACAACACAATCTTTCTGGAATATTCCTTTTCATGGATTTCATGAATATTTTCTATAAAGCCGATCACAGAAATAAAGATGCCTAGAAATACAACAATTACCCTTTAAAACTTTTGTTATTAAGGTTTTTAACAAAACAAAACAAAACAGCAACAAAAAAGTAAAAGACCTGAAATATTTGTAAAACAGCTTTATCACTTGATTTCTTTACATTATTTTTGGCACCCTTAATTCAATACAATATCTGGGCTTTAGACTGATAAAAACGATTGCGGAGGAGGGGGTTTCATATGTAGATGTATAAGTCTCTGATGCTCACCTAGATGCTGATTGAAGGGAAAATAAGAGACTTCTAATTGAATGAGAGAAAGGAAAATCTAACACTATTGCAAAGATAAAAAGATTTTCTTCAAATATCTCCCCCAAACCTAATATTTTATAAAGAAGAAAAGATTTTTTTCAAAACCCTCCCCCCCTCTCCAGCCCTGAGCATAGTGACTAGAGTTGAACAGTACCGGTAAATGGGACAGCCCTGCACCTGGTTACTCTAAAACAGATATTAACCTTAATAATACCTTGATTATTTAACATTACAACTATCAATTCCTCCATAACATTTACCAAATATAAAGGTTAAACCTTAAATAGAGAGTAAGTATTTGCTAAATATCATAAAACATTATCAAAAAAAAAAAAAAAAAGAGAAACTAGAATATAATACTGTTTTCACCACTCAGAAGACTTTGCAAAACACAATGCACCAGTCTGATCTCTCTATCCTATTGTTACTACAAACATTTTCTTCTTTAGTTCCATAGATGGTTCTGGACTCTTGGTAATGAGGATGAACATGAACTGCTTCATGGTTTCCTCCATCAGGTAGGTCTTATGTGGGTCGACTTCAAATTCTGGTGGATCACCATCCTTCATGAGGCTCTTGTAACTGTTATATTAAACGAAGGAATAACATTTTCAAAAATTCAAGTATAATTTCTGTCACAAAATTTCTTTTCAAGTAATTTTATCGATCTTGAAATACATCAAAATACATTGAACATTACATATATGTAAAGCACTCACTAAGGACAAAATGTTTTATTTATATTCATAAAGCAAAAAAAGAAAAAAAAATTAAAAACCCAAAGACTTATGAAAGTGGTAAAAGATAATTTTGAAATCGAAAAAAAATATGTCACACACCAATAAGTATTGGTGCTAGTGGCTTTACATGTACAAGTAACTCACTTGTCAATGGTTAAGATACTTTGGTCCATGATCTTATCCATAAGTCCCTTTTGTATTTCTTCAAATCTTGTAACCACAGTATCAAACATGTCCACTTCATTCATATCCACAACTAAGGCTTTGGCAAACCTAAGTAATGAATTCAAATATAGACTGTAATGCATAAAAATGTAAATTTAAAACAGGGAAGATTTCGAAACAATACTTGACATTTTGCTACTGGCATAATATTTCTTACACAGACTGACAATATTTCACATCATTTTTTCATCATTGAACACCAACCTTTTATGTATTTATTAATAGTGTTTTTACAGTGCAGCAGTGGTTTTAAACAGCTTTGATGATGTGCCACCTTTCCCAATTGTGTAAAAATCTTCTGCCATAATACTTAATAAGTTATATGAAAAATATATTTTGGAGAACCGCCATCCCTTTTGCCCATGTATGCTACATGCAACAGCAGCACCATGTTTTAATACACATAATTAAAATATCAGCCTGGAGATTTGGACAAAAATGTATTTACTTCAGTGCTCCTAGCAGGGCCATTCTGATTCTGTCTGGTTCCATTTCACTGGGGTTAAAGGCATCAATGTAGTTGACATGCCGGTACTTGAGAAAGGTCCCTGAGATTCCTGATGGATCAACTAGAAGAGGCCATCTGGAAAAAAATGAACAAATTACAATACCTACTAGAATTGTACTTATACAGTATGTGTATATTCATAGAGCAAACCATTATGTAGAAAGTGAAAGGGTTTCAAGCAATTTTTTATAAAAACTGTTTCACTTACGCATTTTGCGTTACAGAAATAAAAACATAAAAAATAAAAAGATGTGGGAAGCTCTGAAACAAGTAGATATGAATTTCTGTATGGAGACTTATTTGTCTCTTATTTTTGTCTCACAATATGCTTATTACTTACTTTCCAGATGCTCGGACTTTATTATTTTCCTCTGCAAATAGAACTCCAGCCAATTCTTTTATGTTTATGTTTATACCTGCTGGCGGGGC